TTTTTTTTTTGCTTCCTCCGGGCTTCCCTGTCTGCCTCTCCACGGGATCGCTTCCCTAATTTTCAGCACGATCAAACGTTATTCCCAGCCTATTCCGCCGCTGCGTCGAAAACTTTCGTTTAACCGATATCGAGAAGTTTTTCGTTTCGCGTTAACGATAACTCTCCCTCGTGGACTTTTCTTTTTCCGTCTCGCACCCTGTGCGTATCTTCGGCTCCGCGCGGAACTGTTGCCACGGCCAGGCAGAGAAATTCTGTTTCGTGAAATTTCTTCTCGATTTTCCTTTGCAGCCGCGGTTCGTACTTTAACCCCTTGCACTATGATTTAAGTCGCGAGTCGCTCGCGCCAATTCCAATTTCTTCAGTCGTATAACATACTTATGATATATACACATGTACAAATGTTAGCAGCAACTGGTGTAATTTTGTAAGGTGCCTGAGATCTACTTCGTTGCTTGAAGGGAATATTAAATTTTATGAAGGATAAGAATAAATTAGTTTGTTCCGAAGCACATCTATCGTTTGAAATCAACATTTCAACTCGAGTATAAACATATCGGGAAAGGGAGAATGAGTCAATAACTCATCGGCGAACAAAAATGATTCATGATCTGCAAGTAAATAATGTATCTAAAGTAATAGTTTATTTCAATTTGTAAAGAAATGCTTATTTTAAATTGCTAACTTTTCGAAAAACCGGCAGAGAGTTGATACTTTCAGACAATGATCTGCAAATAAATAATGTATCTAAAGTAATAGTTTATTTCAATTTGTAAAGAAATGTTTATTTTAAATTGCTAATTTTTCGGCAAACCGGCAGAGAGTTGATACTTTCAGACAATATGTTTGCACGTTTGATACGTGGCCGAAATTAACCCCGTTGATTCATAATATCGAGTCGTACAAGTTAAGATCTCGCAAGAAGAAGTAAATTGCAAACCTATGAAATTCCAATTCAAGTTTAAAATTCAATTTCATTGAACTGAACACTGACGACGAATAAAAATTATATACAATATTTCGATACCTGGAATGTTCTAAATGAAGTAATGCTCACTGCTTGAAAATTGAAAAGAAAATCGTCAACGCAATAATGAATCTGCACGAGCCCGACTGGCGCTTCTTACGTCTGGACCGATAGATTTACCACGAGTAGTCTCACTCGATGTGTCGTAGATGAAAGGATTAAGTCAGCTACGTTTTCTCGTCGTAGTTTGTGTGACGCGAGAGTGAAGTGAAAAGTTGAATATCCTGGTGGGACAAATGGTCGGTAGCGAGAAAGCTCGTCAGTCGTTAAATGGCGACATACGTTACTGGAATGTCTCGCGTCGCGATCACGAGCCGCGCTCTCCTCCCAAGGAGCCTGAGTAATTAATTTTGCGAGAACGAGTTTCGCGGAATATTCCTCCCTGGCGAACGTTTCCTCCCCCAGTGTGTCGGTCTGTGAAACCGTTTCCCGTGCGGATTTGTTGCGGATGTGAGGGGCAGAAAGTAGGGAGTGCATCACACGTCCCTAAATCTAGAACGTTTACTTGACCGCGGAGCTTCAAGGAACGCCGAGGCGCTATTAAAATCTTCGTAAAGTTCATCTCGGCTGGAATAAATGAATAAATAATAGATCTCGTTCGCCAAGGCAAGAAAGGGTCGCGGCGGGCGAGCAAAGCGGGAACGTGAAGCACTTTGATATTAAACTCCTCTCCGGCCTGCTCCGCAACAATACGGGAGTTTAAATTTGCTTTCGACAAGCGCGCCGCGTTTTTTCCCCCCATTACTTTTCGTTTAATCGCGTACCTCGAACGCCGGGGCTGTTATTGTTAAATACGTTTGAAAATCACGAAAGTGCCAGCTTTTTTCGATATATCTTTAAGATATATATATATATACGCGTGTGTT